TTAAAACATCATCAGATTTTCACACAAGTCCTAAAAGTAGATGAAGAGAACCCAATTAAACAAATGAGACAAAAATATTATACTTGGTCATTTATTTATTGAGGGAAATGATCCAATATTGATCCAATATCCCCGTTTTCTCTTTTCCTTATTTTTGTGTTTGTCTAAAACTGTTCTCTCTTGTAAATGAGTCTCAGAGGCTCAATGTGATTAATCTGTATAAATAAAAGTTGAATGCTTTTTTTTTTATATATATATTTGTGAGTGGTAAAAGTATGTGAACCTTTGCTTTCAGTGATGTTCAGAGTTCTCCTGATGGTGGACTCATGAACATCAACATTAGTCAATGAGAGAGACCTTCAGTTGTTAGAAGTTACCCTGGGCTCCTTTGTGACTTCAGACTATTCCACACCTTGGAGTGATTTTTTTGTATTGAACGTTTTTTTAATCTTTGTTGGTCCACCACTCCTGGGGAGGGTAACAATGATCTTGAATTTCCTCCATTTGTCCAGAATCTGTCTGTGGATCGGTGGAGTCCAAACTCTTTACAGATGTTATGTAACTTTTCCAGCCTTAAGAACATCAACAACTCTTTTTCTGAGCTCCTCAGAAATCTCCTTTGTTCCTCCATGATCCACTTCCACCACCATGTTGTGAAGATCAGACTTTGACTGATCGTGTTCTTTAAATCAAACAGGGTGACCACTCACACCTGATCATCATCTGAGAGATTGTTTTGATCGAACAGACTGGCAGGTTTTCAGAGAAGCTGCTGAAAATGGAGGTTCGCTTGATCTTGACCAATACACATCCTCAGTACTGGGTTACATTAGTACATGTACTGACACAGTCTCCACTATCAGAAATGTTAAAAGCTACCCAAACAGAAAACCTTGGCTGAATGCAGAGGTGCGTACCCTGCTGGAAGCCAGGAACACTGCCTTCAGGTCCGGAAACTCAGAGGAGCTGAGTAGGACAAGAAAAGAGCTGGTTGCTGGTATTAAGAGGGCCAAGGCCACATATGCACAGAGGATCGAGGGTCAATTCATCTCACAAGACCCTCGGAGCATGTGGAGGGGCATTAAGTGCATAACAGATTATAAAGGAAGGAGTGAACAATGCCCCAAAGACCCATCTCTGCCTGATGCCCTCAACAAGTTCTATGCACGCTTTGAAGACCCGAACAGACCACCCAGCACCAGACTCACCTCACCACCGGATGAAGAGCATCTCAGCGTGACCTCAGCAGAAGTAAGGAGTACCTTCAGGAGGATTAATCCGCACAAAGCAACTGGCCCAGACAACATCCCCGGAAAAGTGTTGAAGGAATGTGCTGATCAGCTCTGTGAGGTGCTGGCAGACATCTTTAACACCTCACTTACCCTGGAGACAGTTCCCACCTGCCTGAAGACTGCCACCATCATCCCAGTCCCAAAAAGCTCTACAGTGACTGGTCTGAATGACTATCGGCCAGTGGCCCTCACCCCGATAGTCGCTAAATGCTTCGAAAAACTGGTCATGACTCACATCAAAACAACCATCAACATCAACGAGGACCCTCATCAGTACGCATACCGTGAGAACCGATCAACAGAGGATGCAATCTCCTCTGTGGTCCACACTGCGCTCAACCACCTGGAGCAGAAAAACTCTTACGTCCGTATGCTCTTTGTGGACTTCACATCCGCCTTCAACACCATGATCCCCCAAACCCTGATGGACAAACTATCCACACTAGGACTAAGCCCCTCCATCTGCAACTGGGTACTAGACTTTTTAACAAACAGACCACAGTTAGTGAGGATCCACAACCTCTCCTCCTCCACCATAACCCTCAGCACTGGCTCTCCTCAGGGATGTGTGTTGAGCCCCCTCCTGTTTACTCTGCTCACATATGATTGTGCAGCTACCCATCCAGGCTGTCACATTGTAAAGTTTGCAGATGATACAGCGGTGGTGGGATGCATCACAAACAATGATGAGTCCAGCTACAGGCAGGAGGTGGAACACCTGGAGAGCTGGTGCAGAGAGAATAACCTTCACATCAATGTGAAGAAGACAAAGGAGATGATTGTGGACTTCAGAAGGAACAAAAACACCTACACCCCCCTGAACATAAGAGGATCTGCGGTGGAAGTGGTCTCCAGCTACAAGTACTTGGGTGTACACATGAATGACAACCTCAGCTGGAGCAACAACACCACCAGCCTGATCAAGAAAGCTCATCAGAGACTCTACTTCCTCAGACGGCTGAGGCGAGCTGGTCTGGGAAGCTCAGTCCTCACCTCCTTCTACAGGTGTGCAGTGGAGAGCATCCTGTGCTCGAGCATCAATGTGTGGCATGGAGGCTGCACAGCTGCAGAAAGAAAAGCTTTGCAGAGAGTGGTGAAGGCTGCACAGAAGACTGTTGGAATCAGTCTCCCCACCATCACAGACATCTACACCTCCAGATGCAGGAAGAGGGCCACCTGCATCATGAAGGACCCCACCCACCCAGCACACACACTTTTTGCCCCACTCCCCTCAGGAAGGAGGTTAAGGAGCATAAAGTGTAGAACCACTAGACTGAGGAACAGCTTCTACCCTGAGGCTGTTAGACTCATGAATCTCTAACTAGAATAATCACTGTGAAAAACCATATCATGTTGCTGCTGATCTGTTTCATGTTGCTGCTGATCTGTTTCAATGTTGATGTGTTCATGCGTGCACATCTGCTCACAGACTCATGTTCATGTTTGTGCTGATGTTCAATGTTTTATGTTATGAGTGCTTAGTGTATATTTAGTTGATGTTTTTCTTAGTTCATATCTTAGATGTTATTACTGTTTTTCTTATACATTTTATTGTTGGATGTAACTGGGACCCTGTGTACATAATTTCGCTCCACCACATGTACCACATGAGGTGCGAATGACAATAAAGAAACTCTGACTCTGATCATCCATGGATTGAAAACACCCGACTCTAAATTCACCTTAAAAATTAACTAATAATCCAAGAGGTTCACATACTTTTACCACTCATAAATATGTAACATTAGAGTATTTTCCTCAATAAACCAAGTACAATATTTTTCTCATTTGTTTAACTGGGTTCTCTTCATCTACTTTTGGGACTTGTGTGGAAATCTGATGATGTTTTAGGTCTAATTTATGCAGAAATATAGAAAATTATAAAGAGTTCACAAACTTTCAAACACCACTCTGCTACTGGATCAGTACGGACAACTCATCCACCTTCTTAGAAATGAGCATTTTAGTGAACCAGAATGACTCCTCATTTAATCACTGTTAGCATTTAATAGTCAACAATGGAGATAGTAGGTGTTTGCAGTTCCTTCAAGGGGGGAGGTATTGGGTGTTCACCTAAGGAAGCATTCATTCATGCTAAAACCCCTACTGGTCGTATTGCAGGACTTTTAAATTTACAGCTTAAAAAAGGTAAAGAGGGGGGACTTAATACACAGTAACAATACTAGTTTTGATTTAGGATTAGAGTTTAAATAAAAAACACAAGAAGAGAATATTGGTACTGATCAATTTACATTCCAAAACATTGGTAGGAAAACAGCAGAACCACGTAAAACATTATTTCTCACAGATAAAACCACCTCCCACATATTTCACATGGAAACAACATTTACAGTTTTGATGAACGCAGACAGACTTTTTCATTTTATTTTTTTTAAAAAAGATAAAAAGTTCAGTTACATGGACCTAATGTGACAAAAAATAAAATAAATAAAATGTGATATAATAAAATATAAAGATGCTCTTTAAGGCAGTGATGTAGGGAGATCTGCATTGTTTGCATTTTCTACCCATTCATCAGGAAACGTCCCATTTCAGAGCTTTTTGGGACAGTACTTATTCTCAAACTTGGCCACATCAAACTTCCGAAGGCAGCCCTTGTAGTTCATGTAGCGGATTTTTCCAAACACTGGCCTCTCTGCCCAGCCCTGGTCATGGATGCCGCAGATAGACCACATACAACCTACAGGACCGAGACACAACAGGGACAGTGTGTAAACGTGACACATTAGGAATCAGCAACGTGCTTCTTTAAAAACATGGAAAAGTTTAATTTCCTCACCAACAAAACCGTTGGGGTCCTGACCGTCCAGCTCATAGCGATCATTCAGGTACAGAGCGATGGACAGCGCCTCCTCTGGAGAACGAGTCCACTCCAGAATTTTTTTGGCCCAGTACATCCTCAGAAAACCATGCAGCTTCCCCTCAATGACCATCTGGTACTGATTGAAAAGAGAGAACAGGTGGGCGTCAATCACAGGATGGTCGAATAAGGAAAAAAATTATAATTATAAAAACAAAAAGACCACCCTCGTCTTTTTCTACTTTCAAGTTTCTTTATTTGTCATTCGCGCCACATGTGGTACATGTGGTACATGTGGTGGAACGAAAGTGTGTACACAGGGTCCCAGTTACATCCAACAAAAGTATAAAATGTAAAAGAAAAACAGTAAGAAGATCTAAGATATGAACTAAGAAATATGTTAAACTAAGCAAAACGTTAATAAAAATACACTAAGAACTAGTAGCATAAAAACAATACGTCAAACAGCAGCACGAACATGAGTCCGTGTGAGCAGATGAGCACGCATGAACACAGCAACATGAAACAGATCAGCTGCAACATGAAACAGATCAGCAGCAACATGAAACAGATCAGCAGCAACATGAAACAGATCAGCAGCAACATGAAACTGCTGTTTGAACTCTTTCCTCCCAGGCTCTCATCGAGGTGGCAGCTTCTGTTTCTCCTCCCCTGATTTTTTCCTTCTTCCTGCTCTGCTCTCTGTGTGTCTGAAGCGCCTGATTCACATCTCCCGAACATAAATTAAGAAGATTATGGATTTGGTATTGTGGGCGTTCAACTCTATTGATAACATTTTTTCATCAAAGCGACAAGGTCCTGGAGAACCGGCGTGTCCAGCTGAGACTCACGCTGTGGGGTACGTCATGGATCAGTGGGGAGTGTGGCAGCTGATGTGCCTCTCAGTTCTGTCTCAGGAGGATGTTGAAGACGTTTGCATATTTGGACTTATGATAGCAGGGACTCTGCTTTTTGGCATCCGGGGCTCTGTTTTATCGACTTTTGAACAAGCCAGCGGGAGCAGTTTTGGCCATGGAAAAGCTTCCGAGTCAGTGTGAAGGTCTGGCCCTCGCTGTGGGAACTTTAAATCATCTGGTTTACGAGCTTAACCGTAAAGTGGAGGCGATTGAGAATTTCAGACCACCTGCGGCTTCTGGGACTTGTCAGCGTGGTGGGTTCGACCTTGAAGGAGACTCATAGCACGGATCAGTGGAATGGAATCCCACAATTAGGCATTTTCGGAACCAGAACGCCCAGATGGACTCAAGGCTGAAGAAAAAAATCTGTCTGCTTGAAGAAAAACAAAAATCAAGCTTATCTGAATCAGACTCCCGACGGCCTCGGAGACGGGCTGACTATCAAATTTCTCCTGGGACATGAGTACCCAAGGACAAACGCTTCATCTATTGCGCTCTCCTGTAGTTGCAGCTTCGTGCACTCCGCCCATCTTTCGGACAACTGTACGTACATATTCGCGTTGTACCTCGGTGCAATTCCAATAAAGTTTATTCTGATTCTGATCAGCAGCAACATGAAACATATCAGCAGCAACATGAATTTTTCCAAACACAGGCCTTTCTGCCCAGCCCTGGTCAAAGATGCCACAGACAGACCACATACATACTTCTCAAAGTCTTTATATACTATTTAAATCATTCACTTTCTGAAATAATAGTATTGGTTATTCATCCATATTTCATATTTGCCATAATTCCACACTGTTGTTTATTGCTCACAAGCTGAAAATAAACGTCACAGAATTGTGAATTTAAATGACCATATTCTTGTGTCTTTCTTTGACTGAGGGAAATTACAATATTGTTAAAGGACTCACAAATTTCTTTTGATTGACGTCGGTCAACATTTATTACATAACCTTGAATGGTTAGCCTGTTAAAAGGTGTCCGGAAATCACAAGCATTACTATTTATCAGTGTGTCAAATTTATCAGATTTAAATTGATCAAATTTATCATTATTTATCAGTGTGTCAAAGAAAAGAGATGATTTCTTAAGAATAACATGAGTTCATCCAGCAGCAACATGAACTCACCTTAGAGTCAGACTTTATTTAACGTTGGACAGGAAGCACTAAAGATCATATTCTCAACATTAGGAAAATATGACTGACTCAGAACTGCTGAAATACACGGACAGGTAAGAATCATTGTAAAGGGATAGTCTGAACACTTTCAAGTGTGCAAAGGTTCAAAAAATGTATATATAGTGGTCCCTCGTTTATCGCGGGTGTTTGGGACCACGCCCACCCACAATAAGTGAAAAGCCTGAAGTAGAGATACAGTGCTCTAAGTTCAAGTTCGGTAAACTTTGTCACTCATCAAATAATTAAAAATAACTTAACACTTTTATATTGTGATTATGACGATTTGACGATGTGACATACTTTGAATTTTAAGTTGGAAGACAAAAGTTGATCGGTTCATCTGGACAGCAAAGGGTTAACCCTTCACAAAGCTGCTGCTGCAGGAGAAATGTGTGTGTGGCTGAGAAGGAGATCAGCTGATCAGCTGCAGGAGGGAGCTTTCCCTGCACCTGTGGGCTGCACACATGGTGCAGAATCATCTAAACTAATTTATTTTAAACAAACAACCCATGGCTCATCCATCAATCAGCCATATGTGTCATGTCCAATCTTACTTTGAAAAACCGTGATATAGAGAATACGTGACAAACGAACCACAAAGTAGCGAGGGACAATTTATTATTTGATCCTTATTTAAATTATCTCTATTTATAGAAAATTTCATAGTGGTTCATGCAAATGTTTTACACAGTTATTAACATAGAGCAAACAGTGACAGCAACAGTGTAGCACTTTCAGGAATACTTTAATTTAATTTAGATACTTTTGCTAAAATAATTGCATAATGCTTAACAGAAGAAAAAGCAAAAGTTGAAATAGAAAAAACAAACTGCTGTTATGAAAACTTGAAAAGAGGACTTGATTTGAGGTGACATCAATCCAATTTGGGCGTGGATTTGCTAAGATAAAACATTATTAGCTCATTATTATGCTCAGAACAGAACCACTTTTAGGTTCTAAAGCAGATTTATGACGTTCTAACAACTCCACATCTTATAAAGGTTCATGGAAACTGTTAAAAATCTATTAAAACTTATACAGTCTTTTTTGCGTTACACTTATCGAAACAGAAAAAGGTGACCTTAGGCTGCACAGGAAGTGCTACAGCTAGCGGCTGCCGTTTGTGCTTGCAAATAATCACAGAACTCCAAGAATCTTGTATTTAGTTTATAAACCACTGAAATTTTTGAGTTTGGAGTTGTTTGAAGATGGTAATGATCCACGTTAACCTTAGCCACTTGCAGACTAGCCATTAACTCATCAGTCTATTCAGAATTAAGCTTTTTACAAACGGAGGTCATTACAAAAAAGTGTGCTATGTGTTGTCATCATTGTTTGTTTCTATACAATGATGAAATTAGTTCACTGCATTGAATCCATCACACTGAAACACCCAGGTGGAGCAGTGGGCAGCTATGTAGGTGCATGGAGAGCAGGGAGGGATTAGGTGTCTTGCTCAGAGACAAGTTGGCATAGCTGGGAGTTGAAGCTGTAAATTTCTGGTTCCAAGTTGGCTGCCCTACCTTTACACCACAGTAGCCCCAAGGGCTGTATACAACAGTTACATCATTAATTCTTAATAACTCTTACACAGAAACCCAATTCAAAAGATCTGAACTATATATTCTGATGAATGCTCAATAATCCAGGTAGAAAAATCTAAAAAAAAAAAAAAAAAAGCTAAGTCTGGTCCTCTGGGCATTCAAAAAACAAAAACAAAAAAAATGTTTTGTCTTTCATCCGAGAGACTTCCTCAGTCTGAGGAGCTGTATTCAGCTCAGTCTCTTAAATAGCACCTTCTCAGAGTGGATCAACCAGTTTGCTGCTGACAACTAAAACCAACTGATCACATGCTCAAGAAGGACCATCAGCCTAACAATGGATCATTAGCACACTGATGGCTGTTTACTGTTCACAGGAGGTTGAGTGATACTAGCAATCACAGCATTGTAAGAGGGGGACAGTTGAACCCGTAGGCCTCCACCCCTGTTTAACGATGGACGGTTTCTTTTCACAAAGATGGCCTCCTTTACTCCTCTCTCAAACCATCGTTCCTCTCTGTCCAGGATGTGAACATCTTCATCCCTGAAAGAGTGACCGCTGGCCTGGAGATGAGTGTAGACCGCAGAGTTCTGGCCTGATGTTGTTGATCTTCTGTGCTGGGCCATCCTTTTGGCCAGTGGCTGTTTAGTTTCCCCGATGTAAGACTGATCACCCTCCTGACACTGAACAACATACACAATATTACTCTGTTTGTGCCGGAGGACTGGATCTTTGGGATGAACCAGTCTTTGCCGTAATGTATTTTGGGGTTTAAAAGCCACTGGGACGTTATGTTTAGAAAATAAACGTTGGTTACGTACTGTAACCCCAGATTCTATGAATATAAGCGTAGCCCTTTAAGGCCTTCGCTTTAGTGGGTTTATCCCGTTATGCAGAGCATAAGCACTGAAAAAAATTAGTCCACGCCCACCTGCTGTGTGGGCCCCACCCGGTCCGTATAAATTACGTTAAGAGCGGGAAATCGGCTCCCAAAATAGCTTTTTTCTTCAGCCATTTAGGAGCCAGTGAGGCCCGACGCTTAAAGGGCTACGCTTATATTCATAGAATCTGGGGTTACAGTACGTAACCAACGTTCTATGTCATATAAGCTTCGCCCTTTAAGGCCTTCGCTTTAGTGGGTAAAGGGCGAAGCCGATGTGGTCCTCGCCTCACTGGGTCCATTCGAACACAGTAAGAAGCGGAAGCTTGCCCAAAAAACGTCTTGTCACTCAGCTCCCCATGTGCATAACTACGCATCGCGTAATTATGTGCCATGCACAGACGCATGTTGTGTAGCTATGCGTTCTGACAAAGCATGAATACCCCGGAAAACTTTCAACGGAAGAAGAAGTTGAAAAGAGGGGGGGGGCGGGCATGAACCAACTGGTTCATGGCTGAACAGTATAAACAGATTAATGTCCATAAATTGATTATAAATCAATTGAACTGATTGGTAACAATAATCATGAACTGATTAGTGACAATAGAACCAAA